ACCGAGTCATCGCCGTCAGCTCAGAGAAGAGAAACCGGAAGTCCCCGACGATCTGGGCCCAGCCCTAGTGCCAGTCCTCCACCGGTTGCTGAGGGTATTACTGTGTCACCGACTCTTCTTAAAGAACTGTCGGGGGGTCAGAAAGTCGAGTTCATTGATTTTGTCAAGGTTGGTAAAATTTTATGTGTGTGCCGAATAGAACCCTTGTTTTCATTGGATTTCTTTTTGGAAGTTGTGTTGCCCCCTCCCACCCACCCCTTGCTGAACCTGCGCGGATGTACGTAATATAGGCAATTGAGGGACTCTTTGCTATACTAGCATTCGGCTCCGAGTGGGGTTGTAGCAATACTCCTAGCTGTAGCCTTTTGTTTGACGTTTTCTCCTCTCACATTTAATAATAGTCTCACCCTGATGGTCTAACTTTTGGGTAAGTTATTATACCATTCAAACGATACCTTGCACGAAAACCGAGTGGGGGCTGGAGATAGACGGGGAAGTCTCTTTTCTCGCCGTTTTCGCTCACCCACTTTTTCTGCTCGTTTGCACTGACTGAGAGCCTGGCACAGGCTAATGAAACCTCTACAACCGCTCTTGTTCTTTTGTTAGAGTCCTACTGGTCTTGGTTTTGCTGTGGTGGAAGGCCCAGGATTTGTTGAGGGCCAGACAGGTATATACGTTAAGGACATCACTGAGGGAGGACCTGCCCAAAAGGTACTTCAACCTTTTCCTGGTTCTCTCATACAAAATGCTTGTGTATTTATTGAAGTCTTTGTGTTAACGCTGCGTTTTTGAAAGGACTAACGAGACATTTGACCTCAGTGAAGAGTTCTCCTAAGCTAGTTTCTGCTTATCTTTAGGATAACCGATTGAGGAAAGGAGATCAGCTGCTTGCAGTGGATAACCAGCCCATTGTAGGACTTTCTCATGCTGAGGTAAACGACTGTCGCTAGTGAAATACAATAGGGACTTTAAGATCTAACGACGCGACGGTAACGACAACGTCGCCTAAAAAGTGAATTTGCGTTCCTTCAATCTTAATAGCGATTATTCCTCCCTTTTTACTTTGTCAAATGTAGGCAAACTCTCCGGAAGCTGAATTTCAAGGGAGCATATCAAAGCTCAGAAAGAGATATAAAAATTTCGTCGTTGCTTGTTTACGTCCTCCATAAAACGCCAAATTAGGCATTTTCACGTCATAGTCGTGCAAAAACAGGAAAGAAATGTACAAAAAAGCGTGATGCACGTGCAAAGTTGTTGTTTTGCTTATTCAATCAATTGGGTTTTTTTTTTGACGTTCTCGTTGCCGTCTGCGTCGTTGGATCTTAAAGTCCCTAATCAAACCTTCGGGGACGCACATACTTCGTTAACGGACATTAAAATGCTCTCCCGGGGCGGAAATTTCACTGTTAAGACGCTTTTTTTTTTTAGCCTCCCGTAAAAGGATACCTCTCGTAAGCAAACGTGCACATCCCTTCTCGGGGCTGTAGAACCTAAAAATAACCTTCCTCAAGCGGCCAGTAAACAAAACAAGACTAGACTTAAGAAGGATTCAAACTGCAGACAACTGAGGGACGGAGAAAAGGAACACTACCTTGCCTTGTGAGCCTTTTGGCCTACAGACATAGGAAAAGAGAGGGAAAGAAAGATTTGATTAGGTTTCCGCTTTTATAGTCGCTGTTATCTCTGCGATCTACAAAGTGACCCGTCGAGAAACAAACGATAGGTGAAGCCTGTCATACACAAAGCACCCTGAATACTGTCTTTCGGCGTTGTATTTAAAAAAAAAAATGGTAACGAAGAAAAAGTGTGGCTGGTTATATTGTCAACAATTCCTTTAACAATCAATCAATAGTCCAGTTTCGAATTAAAAATTACCGCTGAATACAAACATTAACGACACATTTATACAGGGTTAGCCTCGACGTAAAGTAAAATATTCAGAAATTCTGGCAAGTAAGTGTTTGAAATTTGAATACGGCTATTTCGAAAAAGGTTGTCGGAAAAAGTGCACGCGACAATCCCGAAAGGTATTGTGGGTGGTTTTGAGATCACTGTTCTTCATAAAAATTTTGAAAGAATGGCACGAGAGGCCATGGACTATGTTTCCGAGTGCTAAAGCGAAGCAGCAAAAGTAGGTTCGACAGCTACAGTGTCAGAAACAGGGTATTGATCATATCCCATATTACCTTTCGGGATTGTCGCGTGCACTTTTTTTTCCGAAAACCTTTCTCGAAATAGCTGTATACACAATAGACAGAGTAGTAAACAGGTCTTTTTCTCGTTGGAATTTGTGAATATATTACTTCAGATTGAGGCCAAGGCTGTAAAAAATGCGTCTTCACTTCTTTAATTCAGCGGTCATGGCGAACTCGAAAATGGACTATTAGTCAAAGTAGGCTTAAAACTCCTCCCTCTCTACTCATTATTGAGCCAATCAAAGCGGTTAATAACTCGTGACGGTGGTCCTGCTTTAATAGCTTCGTTGGCAAACACCTGTGCTTACCGGATCAGCTTTTAAAAGTGTTGATTTGTTTGTTTTTAGGCTGTTGCCATATTAAAAAGAACCAAAGGAAAGGTGTCACTCGTGGTTGCCAGGAAACAAACGCCAGCCGGAAGTGGACAAGTTTCCGAAAAGACCGGAAGTCCGCGCGCCATTAAGCGGGGACCTCCTGTTGCTAAGAAACCTGTCAGGGACTCTTTATCAGATCCCAAAAAACCCGGCAGTCCAAGAAAAGCCGAGAGTCCCCGAATGACTAAGAAAGCTTACGAAAGGTCTCCGAGTGGAAGTCCTGTATCGCCGAGAAAATCTCCACCCAAACCAGAAGTGCCTGAGCCAGAAGTTCTGGTTATCCAGCAGTCTCCTAGGGAAGCAGCAGGTATGTGGTATATTATATACTGTTGTTTACCTTGGATTAGACTTAATCAAAGCCCTGGTTAGGTCGCGACTCTGTTTCTCGCTGTCGCTCGCTTTGCGAGTGCCCCTCGCGCCTTCGACGCTCTCGTGGTCGACTTGTGGCAAATCTTACCTTTAATATTCTTTTACTGGCATGTTCAACTGACTTCTTCTCTCTCTTCTTGTTTTCACAGTTACGCCCCTTGTCTCATCGCTGACACAGATCCCAAATCCCCGTACAGCACCAATAATTCCCGGTCAAGAGTGTGTGATTGAAATTCCTAAAGGCAACACTGGCCTGGGGCTTAGTATTGTAGGCGGAGCAGATACTCTCTTGGTGAGTTCAAGTTGTGGCAATTGATTTAATTTACCACTAACATTGCTGGTTTTCACGTGAGGTCATTACCAAGTTCTGTTCGGCGTCTTCCCAGGCTTTCTCGGGCGATTCATTTCGGTGACGTGTCCGAGACGAACATAGGTCGCGCGAAAAAATTAGGCCTAGGTACTAGGCAAATGCCTCCATTCAAATCTCTGTTAATTTTGGGTCAATCATTTCTCCTCGTTTCTCGCGTTTGAAAAATCACACAGAACTGAATCTTGGCGAGGCTGTTTATTTTTTATATTTTATTTTTTCCCATTCCCAAATTCTGGGCTTTATCTACGTAACGATTTCGATTTTTAATTTTTGATGGCGTGACAGCGAAAACCAACAGTTTTAATAGTTCTCGATTGGTTTTGGGTTCCCTTTCTTAGGTTAGCGTATTGTTAAGCTAATTGTTTTGCTAACAAGTGTAGTGAAACCGTATTGTTCAATTGAAAAGCGCTTTGAACAGAACGTAGTCTCTCTCGCAACCGTGTTTAGTATCGCCGACACTAAAAACGGCTGCGAGGGAGACTAAACGGAACGTTAATGCCGTTTTTATTTCCCAGGGTGCCATTGTCATACATGAAGTATATGAAGACGGTGCCGCTGCTCAAGATGGAAGACTGTGGGCTGGAGATCAAATATTAGAAGTGAGTTATCCGATGTTGTAGATTGAACTGTTAACGTTGTTATTTAACCATAAGAACTACCAGTTTTTGGTTTGTTCGTCATATCAATTATTTTAGCGTTTTTGCAAAATCTTGAGGTCTGTAGCGAAGTAAACGTTCGTTAACCCCACCAGGTTTGCCAAACAAGAATGACTCTGATTACCTTCGCATGTGACGAAACCGTTTAAGTACATAGCGTCGTAAACAATCAGATGCACCATCAGTTTTCAGTCTCACTGGAATTGGTGTCACCTGCAATTGATTCTACCTACGCATGTCACATGCTATTACCGCTGTTCATACTGACTGATGGTTTTTCCAAAGGTAAACTCCGTGGACCTACGAGAGGCGACTCATGACATGGCTATCACAGCTCTCCGGCAGACACCAGCTGTAGTGCGACTTGTAGTTCTCAGAGACGAGTCACAGTTTAAAGACGAAGGTGTGGTTCAGAGTTAGTTATTGTAATTAATTTAAGTATTGATCGTAGCTACTTTGCATAGCCTGCGAAGATTGCGGGGTTGTTATCCGCTAGATACTCCCAATCTTCTCGTGGCTCCGCCGCCAAAAACAGCAGCACTCAACCTCTAGTCCCGCCAGTTATGCAGGCACACCGTGCTTAGACTGTCGAGTCCTCCTTCCTTACTGCTCTTTTCACAAACACGCAAACTCTAAAGTTCAAAAGCAGCTCTGCATTTTTTCTCTGCCTTCAATCATACTGATCCGTCTGCGAATCATTCTCATTTTGAATTTTTTTGTTGTTGTTGCAAATTTAAAGTTGGCGTTTGTCTCTGAACGCTCCCAGTGTTTAAGGAAATGTCGCATAGTTTACCTGTTCCCTGTCCAAGGTGAATTAAAGTTATTTCACAGTTGTATGATAATGAGTTTTATTTCCTCTGCAGAGGCTTTTGAATACCTGACACTTGAGTTGAACAAAGCACCCGGACAGGGCCTAGGTTTGAGCATTGTTGGCCGAAGGTAAAGTCTGTGAAATAGACTGAAATCAATTAATCAAATATCTTGCGGTGTGACGGTCCGCCTTGAAGCTTTTACTCTCTGTTATGATTGTTCCCTTTGTAATCAACACAGTGTCAAGTAATTATTCAGTTTTTCCACATATTTTTTCACCCTACAGGAATGACACTGGAGTGTTCGTTTCTGATGTTGTCAAAGGCGGCGTCGCCGAGGCTGACGGACGCTTGCTGCCTGGTGATCAGATCCTCTCTGTTAACGGAGAAGATCTTAAAAATGCAACGCAGGAAATCGCTGCTGGCGTCCTTAAGGTAACCATGGTGATGTGTCTAGGTAAATACCAGGGGCATAGACTTTTTCCAAGTTGGTGGTAACCGGTAAAAGACTACTTTCATAGCGTAAATAATTGTGATCAGTAAAATATTTTCAAGATTTAATAGACTGTTGATAAAGACTGCAGCGTGGCGTTACGTGTACCGATGAACAAATAGAGAGGTTAAGCATCGCGTTTACGTCAATTTGTACCACGTGACCAAGTGTCCCCTTTACTTGTCGCCTACTGTTCATTATTTCTACACATAACTAAGGTAGTCTCCCGCAATTTTTCTATCCATAAGAATTTTCTGAGCTGTTTTTATCTGCTCCCTTTCTATTTTGAGAAATTCTCAACTTGAATCTGAGGTTTGCCGTTTGCCGTATACGTAAAGCTTAAACTCTCTAATGCTGCTTTTTTTTCAGCGAACTTCTGGTCGGGTTATACTGGAGATCGCTAGACTGAAACACGGTACCAGTTCCCGCCCGTCTTCAATGAGTAGTTTGCCCAACATACAATTAGGCGCCGGTTCGCTCAGTAGCATGGAAAATATTGCTGTTAATATCCCTCTCGGTAAGTGATGAGTTTTCTATTTGTGTAAGCCTTCTAGAGTTACTGATAAGGCTGCATCTGTGTGTAAGGATTAGGGACCTTTGAGCGCATTCGCATTCTTTCAATTTTCATCACGATTATTCCATCTCACTTACTTTGTCAAGTAAATGGGAACTCTCCAGGAGTTGAATCACTAAGAACAATGTCTAAGTGCAGAAAAAGAAAGAATTTCGATTTCACTTGTTTACGTCATCCATGAAACATGAAATTAGGTGATGTAGTCGTGCAAAGACGGCAAAGGAATTCACAAAAAGTGTGAGTTGTTGTTTTGGTTATAAAACCTATTGCTTTTTCTGACGTTCTCGTTGCCGTTGCCGTTGCAGTCGCTGTTGTCTGATCTTAAGGTCCCCTTCATTCATAAGCTCCTTTGGAAAGAGGTAGTCTACCTTTGTACCTCAAAAGCAGTAATATTAACCCTGGGCACATGAACAAGCTATAAATTTGATAAAACCTAACAGAATTACACCTCTCTTTTTCATGGCAAAGGATAGCTTGTAAGAACGTTTTACCGAAATACCTTTTTTTTTCAAGATTTTGAACAACCGGAAACACATGCAACAGAACAAACATCCGTTCCCAGCCTCCCTCTGGCGAATTTGCTACCGATGTCGGAGCTCGTAGAGCAAACTGGCGATCTGATTCAGTCAGATGGAGAAGAGGAAGAAGAAGAAACGTGAGTAGAGTTTCGAATATTTATCTACTCTCAATCACAGGTTGGTAAAATAGTCACCAAATTCATTTGTCAAAAGCTGAAAACAAACAAAATCATGCGAAAGAGAGCAGAGCAGTACTTTACCACAGTTTCTAGTTTAAATTACATGATTCTCTTTCACAGTCTCAGGATCTTGTGACTCAGATGTGAAAGTTAACTTTTCGTTTCTAAGAGAATATCTCTTAAAACTTAAAGGCGTAGGCTCGTCTGCATCCTAGGAATGTGAGAAGTCACTCTTTTCTTTACAGATTCCTAATACTTCTCTTGTATCTTTTCAGACCACTGGAGCCGAAACTTATTGAGCTAGAACGCGGCCCAGAGGGCCTGGGTTTCAGTATCGTGGGTGGTCNTAATACTTCTCTTGTATCTTTTCAGACCACTGGAGCCGAAACTTATTGAGCTAGAACGCGGCCCAGAGGGCCTGGGTTTCAGTATCGTGGGTGGTCATGGGAGTCCTCATGGCGACCTTCCAATCTACGTCAAAACTGTCTTCCCCACTGGTGCCGCGGCACGAGACGGACGACTGAAGCGTGGTGATCAGATTGTTGCTGTGAATGGAGAGAGTCTTGTAGGTGTAGCGCATGAGAATGCCGTTGCTATGCTGAAGAGAACCAAGGGAAAAATTATTCTAACTGTACTTTCATAAGGAACGCGTTATTTTACACGACTACTGTGACATTATTCTCATATGGGTAGCCTGTGCACTCTTAGCATAGGTGTCCCGTGCCAAACCTGTGCTTCCAAGACAGAAAAATAATGTTAACGCCACATCGCCTACCGTAATGTTTTCATACTTTCATGCTGCCCACATAGTTTTTTAATTATGTTCATATTGTCTTTTGATAATCGTTTTTATGAGCATTTCAAGTTTTCTGTTCTTCGCTTTTTTCGTATAAACGTAAAATCATCCAATATTTATGCTAACAATATCAAACAGTAATTTTCACCCCTTAGTATAGTCTGCGGCCTGCTGCGGGCAAGGTTGCCAGGGGGTACGGGGTGGTGATACCCCGGGAGAGCCTGCTTGCGGGCCAGGAGAAAGGAATTTGCTTCCAATGAACGCTCAGCGTGACTTGCTGATCGTAACGCCAGCTTCTGTAGTTATAATATTGAACTGTAATGTGCAATTTAAATGCAGTGAATGCCTGTTACTATATGTTGTAAAAAGAGGATTTGACTTTTTCTAGTTTAAATAAAGTTTCAAAAAAAAAATTCTGCGCGTGATTTTTCTTATCTCTATTCTGTGAAACCAGAATGTTTGCGTTTTTCTTGGCGTTTGAACCCTTCAATGAAGCCTGAAATCTTGCAAAACAAAAGCAAAGAGAAGCCGGATCTTTGTGTAGATCAAAATTCAAACTTACCATGCTGCTTTTATTGGCTGCTATGAGGGTCAAATTCGTCTCTCAAAACAGTCCCATGGACGATGGACCAATCAACCCAATTCGACGCAGCAACACGGCCCAGTCCCTTTACACATACTGCATTGTAGGTGTTGTGAGCGTAAGCACCTGCTTTGCTCAATTGGTTGGGTACCAGTCTAGAACATCTCTTGAAGTATTTAAAAATAATTGTGGAGAAAATGACATAATTTTTAGTCTGCACCAAGGGTGCTCCTCCCCGTTCATCCTTGCCTGTGTGCAATTTCCAGGCTGTTCGCAGTCAAATTTCTCCTGATTACGTGGAATATAAGGCTTACGTAGACCGCGAGCGGTCGTCCTTCTTTCCTGTCTTTTCTCAGAGCCTCGCGAGGGGAGCGAAAAGTTAGAATTATGGGTGAGGTCAGCGGATACCTCATGAAATTCAAAATGGCGGAGCTTGCTGATGAGATTTTCAACCGGACGTTTGAGAGGGAAATCGAGTGTAAAAATGGAACACTAAGAATCCAGCAAGCTGAAGTAGGCGATGAAAGCTGTGTAGTGTGGGATGCTGCTTTGGTTCTTGCTAAATATATACAGACCGACCATTTTTGCTCCACAGACGGGCTGATAAACAGACGAGTTATTGAGCTTGGTGCAGGTACTGGAGTAGTGGGACTAATTGCTGCAGCTTGTGGGTAAGTACATTTAGCACTATCAACCCTGATTAAGATTCAGGACCCAGAAAACCATAACCTGTTTTGCGGCACATACCCATTTAGACCAAAGAAGGGAGTGCCCCCCAACCCCGGGGGAAACCAGAGTTTCTGGTATCTCGGAGCAAGGGCAAGAAGCAACAATGAACCCAAACCATTTTAATCTGGGCCTCACTGGAGAAAGAGGATTGTTCTATCTAATGCATCACCCTTCTCACTATAAATTAATATTAGATTTTGTGTTTAAGGTTTGCTCATGAATTTTCCCTGAACTTGGTTATGATTGGTCACTAGTGATAAAATCAACATTGCCGAAATATTTCAGGTGCTGCTCACAGTTGTCTGAGTTTGACAGTTGCGTGACATGATGATGTCAAANACGTGGAATATAAGGCTTACGTAGACCGCGAGCGGTCGTCCTTCTTTCCTGTCTTTTCTCAGAGCCTCGCGAGGGGAGCGAAAAGTTAGAATTATGGGTGAGGTCAGCGGATACCTCATGAAATTCAAAATGGCGGAGCTTGCTGATGAGATTTTCAACCGGACGTTTGAGAGGGAAATCGAGTGTAAAAATGGAACACTAAGAATCCAGCAAGCTGAAGTAGGCGATGAAAGCTGTGTAGTGTGGGATGCTGCTTTGGTTCTTGCTAAATATATACAGACCGACCATTTTTGCTCCACAGACGGGCTGATAAACAGACGAGTTATTGAGCTTGGTGCAGGTACTGGAGTAGTGGGACTAATTGCTGCAGCTTGTGGGTAAGTACATTTAGCACTATCAACCCTGATTAAGATTCAGGACCCAGAAAACCATAACCTGTTTTGCGGCACATACCCATTTAGACCAAAGAAGGGAGTGCCCCCCAACCCCGGGGGAAACCAGAGTTTCTGGTATCTCGGAGCAAGGGCAAGAAGCAACAATGAACCCAAACCATTTTAATCTGGGCCTCACTGGAGAAAGAGGATTGTTCTATCTAATGCATCACCCTTCTCACTATAAATTAATATTAGATTTTGTGTTTAAGGTTTGCTCATGAATTTTCCCTGAACTTGGTTATGATTGGTCACTAGTGATAAAATCAACATTGCCGAAATATTTCAGGTGCTGCTCACAGTTGTCTGAGTTTGACAGTTGCGTGACATGATGATGTCAAATTTGATAATGATGGTTGATGATTATTTAATGAGATGTTGCCTGTAGTCTTCCCTGCTAGTAGAGGCCTCTTTCTGCTGGTATTACTCCCACCCACCAAATCCCTGGGAAAAGTGGCTACTAATGAGGCCCTCTTAGGATGGGGGGGGGGGGATTTATGTCCATAGTCTGAATTTCAAATACTGTTGTTTTGCATTTTAAGGAGCACGCCATGTCCTTGTCCATATTTAACCCATCTTGTGTCATTTGTCTCCATTCCACCATCTGGTCACTGTTTCAAGGCCATGTTGCTTGTTGAAAATTCACCCTATCAGGGCTTTGCTAGCAGGGAACTTGTAGTAGGGAAGTTAGTAAAAAATTGATTAAAGCAGTGTTGAGTCTTGTTGTCTGTTTTTTAGTGCACATGTCTGTTGTACTGACTTGCCAAGTGTTGTACCACTCATTGAGTCAAACAGACAAATCAATCAACACCTCATAACTGGAAGCTTTACTGCAAATTCTCTAAAATGGTAAGTAGTTCTTATGCTCTATTTCAATTCCAGAACGGGTGGGGGTGGGATGGTGGGAGAATGGGGAGAGAACAGGGAGTGACAATGAAGTCCTCCTCATTCTTTTCTCGTTTTCTCATTCTCAGACACCCATGGTCAATGTAACCATTACAAAAGGAGTTGCCTGCAGAGGGGGCTAATCTCGTTGCTTCAGTTTGAACTTTTTGTTATGACGACGACAGTAACTTACATTGACATCTTTATAATTCAATATTAAACTACATCTGCTGGTATAACATATTATTTACATGTTTCAATGCTGTTGTGTTTTAGGGGTCAAGATGTATCAACCTTTCAACCTACCCCAGGCATCATTCTAGTAGCTGATTGCATTTATTATGAAGAGGTGAGGATGTTCATGTTTGCTCTGCAGAGATATAGGTATACTTGGGCATTGCAGAAACATTGTTTGTCATGATTTAACAACAAAATTACATTATAGCAGGCTACATATATGATTTAAGCCATTGTTCTGGATTAGTGATAAGTATTGGTCTAACTTGGGGGTGTGGTGGCCGAGTTGTAAAAACATGTCAAACTTAAGATCTGTGTGTCTGGGTTCAACCCTTGCCAATACACTTGTCTCTTTTCACCAAGATGTATAAGTGGGTTCTGGCGACAAAAAAGTTCTGGGGATATTACACTGCAATGGACTAGAATACTTTCCAGCAGGGTAGCAATTTTCCTAGGTGCTTCATGCTACTTGTACTTAAACGTCATCATCATCATCATCATCATCATTATTAGTTTTGTTATTATAATTATTTCTATTTATAATAATGTTTATTATTATTACTATTTTTTCAAGTCCCTATTTCCACTTGTGGTGACCCTGTGTGATCTAAGTGATGCCAACACCACTGTGCTAATATGCTATGAAGAGAGGACAACAGGCAATAAACCTTTGCTAGAGAAAAAGTTCCATGAGGTACAAATATTTAGCAGTTATTAAATTCAACTTTTGTATGATATGAAGAATTATTCAGATCAAGGAGACTGTTATCCACCAAAGGAAAGAGGAAGTGCAATCGATGGATGGTCTATTGCTTATGCAGCCTTGTTACCCAGCAAGAAGACCAAACAATGAACCTCATTTCTAATCAAATATACCATCAAATCAACGGTGTATTGCTCTCTTCTTCAAATTTGGTCAATGCCGGTTGGTTATGGCAATTGAGCCAGGGGAATGGGGTCAATCAGAAACAGAGAAGTATTTTGAAAGAATAATGACTTAAAATGTATGACAATTAGCATGTAATGAGTGTGGAGCAAAGAAAAAGACGGTCATGAATTCCCAACAGGATTCAAACCTATGACTTCTCATGCTGTAACATCAGACATGAGTAAGCTGTGTAGAGGTTCAATGAGTAGCCTGTTCACAGACCCTCTCTTCTCTCTTTAGAGATCCTCGCGTGTGCATATGAAAAAAGAAACCGCAGGGGATTTATTGACTTCTAGGGCAAGGGGGTGGGGAAAGAAGAAAGTCGATGTTTCTTTTTCTTTCACGTGCTCCACCCTCATTCTCATGTTCCAGGCTTGCACACTCGCCCATGCTTGCTCATCCATTTTTGAAAACAACATCTGCATACGTACAGGCTACTCGTGGAGAGTTAGGCCATATATAGCTGAATCAAAAAACCTTGCTTTGGCCATTGGGAAGTGGAAATTGAGCATTTGGGAATACAGAGCTTACTGCATTGATTTGCTTGAATGCCCACCAAACAATAGCTTACCAGTGTGCAATTCCCAATGCCCTAAACAACCTTAATTGAATCAGCAACATGCACGACGTGCGTCCTGCATGTTGCTAGAATTAGCAATGTTGAGAGCGTGCTGTTTGGAATGAGGGAAGATCTTGAAGGCAATTCATTGGAGGAGTGTCTCATGGGATATGCTTGTAACAGGGACATCAATCTATTGTTTTATTTTGATTTGATTTGTTTTCAGCTGGTGAGAGAACACTTTACAGTGAAAGAAATCCCAGAAGAACACCAAGACCCAGTCTACCACAGCCCAGATATACACTTACTGAGATTGACAAAAAAAGATGTCAAGCTTTGACAGCAAAAAAAAATGACCTATCCCCTTCTTGTTGGTGAGACTACAGCTATGGTGTGGAACGCTACTGGTCATCAGTGGAATCCACTGGAAAAGATCATATGCAGTCTGTGTTTGAGAAAGGAGTTCCAGCGTCGATTTTGGTGTGGACTTTGACTTTATCGGTGAACAGGGCGTGGTTATAAGTACGCTCAGGGTATTTCTGCTCCATTAAGGCTATGATCATGCTATACCGAATAGGTCTTACGCCGGCATGCACAAAATCCATACTGCTGCTTCGGTTCCATTGGCGGATCCTGGGGAGGAGCGTCGCGTGACAACACTAACGGCGGTTGTGTAGCAGACTGGTGCAGCACACGTTTTGTTCATTTCGTTCCGTTTCTTACTGTACGATCACAACGTGAAACTTCCTCATGCGACGTGAACACACAGCGACTGATGTTTATTTCTCTCTTTACACTTGGGTGTGGTCCCAAGAAATCAACTTGATGGGAAATTGGCTTACATTTGACATTTAAAGCGAGTTGGAATACCTTGAATGGGACAATGTTTAAGAGAAAACGAATTCATTTTATAGAGACGTTATCGCTGCCGTCACTGTCGCTGTTGCTACAGCATACTAGTTTTCAAGGTCCATGGAGCGTTTTATACAGCATGATATAGAGAGAGTGAAAAACTTCCGGGTGCAAATCCTAGGTGGGATATTTGTTGTTATTGATAAACGCTATGGCCTACACACACGGAAATAAAAAGAATGAACATGATTTTATTGAGATTGCGTTAGCCTACATTACATTACATGCATCGGGTGGTCATAAAGACTATCAATAATTTGAACCTTGGCCGCGTGAGCAACGGCTCTATTACAAAAAGTTGATAAATTCCTTAAGACCTCGTTTACATGGAGAAATCCTGTCCCGGGTAGATTGGTCAGCATCCCAGCCGATTCAACTTTAGAGAGTGTTTATAAGAAAAATTTTACCCCTTTGTTCGCGCCAATAGCGCTTGCGCATGTTCTGAATAGGAACTTCAAGATCCAGCGACGCGTCGAGAAGCGGACGGCAACGAGAACGTAAAAAAAAAGGAAAAAAAAAACGGTTTGATAAGCAAAACAACAACTTCGCACGTGTATCACACTTTTTTGTACATTCCTTTCCCGTTTTTTCACGACCACGACGTGAAAATGCCAAGATTCGCGTTTTGTGCAGGACGTAAACGTCAAGCAACGACGAAATTTTATTTCTCGTTCTGAGCTTGGATATGGTTCTCTGAAATTCAGCTTCAGGAGGGTTCGCCTACATTTGACAAAGTAAGTGGGTAGGAATAATCGCCACCGTTGCCGTCGCCTCGTTAGATCGTAAAGTCCCTATTGTCTTGACTTGGCCGGGCCGAAGTGTTTATGTGGAGAAACGTTTGCCCAGTCACGAGGGTGACTCTACCATCACAAAAAAGATGACCCAGCTAGAAGAGTCGCTCTTCTAGCCAAACCAACTTTTCGTTTCTCATTTAAACGGTTCGCCTCGTTTTGTAAGAAAATGTAGAAAAAGTTGGCTCGCCGCTCGCCCAGGAGAGCTCGCCGGGGTAGGCGAGTGAGCCTTATCCCCGGCACGACTTTTCTCCATATAAACAAGGCCTTAGCTGCGCAAGCCGCTTGTAGTGATAACCGCTGACAATATTTTTTTATAGAACAGGTAGCCCCGCTCAGTTTTCATTGTGCTTGTGTCTTGCTAGACTACCAGCAGTCTCTCTTTTTTCTGTAGTCCGTCGAGCAAGACGGCGCGTGACTGATGGCGTGAGACGGGAGAGCACTTTTTTCTTCTCGGGCGGCCGCCCTCGTTTTGCGCGTCTCGCGGCTTCGCCGCTCCCGCGCGCGTGCATTGCTCTCACTAAATCTGAAGAAAAAGAGAGACTGCTCGCAGTCTAGTGTCTTGCCAGCTTATGACACAACTGCCAGATAACAAAATTAATAAATTTTTCTAATAGAAAATTCTGTACAGGATGAGTGGTCAAAGCTCATCGCCATGTTGGTGAGTGAAAGACGACTCCACATCAACGTTCTGGCACGCAGCAGGAGTTTTGAATTCCATGAGATATTCACATCTGCTAGGTTCCGTTACTTGCACCAATT